GCCAAAAATCATATAGTCCAATACTAATTTTGATTTTATAAAATGTTGCTAATCTAATTTTGTTTCCAAGTTTGAGTTCTCTCTTAGCTCAACTGTAGTCTTTCTTTCAGACTTTCTACTTCTCTGACCTTAACAACCTGAAAACTGTCGTTGACAGCTGGAATGACTATATCTTCATTAACTTCCAGAATCTCCATAGTGGTGGTCAGGAGTTCAGGGAGCCTAATATATAATGGAAGTGAGAAGGGTGAACAAATAGTTTAATAGTTTAGTGTGTAAACTGGTTTGCATAAGCAGAGTTTTCTCTTTTTTAATAAATAGTCATGACTAAAAGGATTGTGCTTGTCTTGAATGTTAGCTTTGGCAGTATTTTGAGAATCTAGACATGCAGTCTATAAGGAACTCGGGGAATTGGACTCAATAAAAGTAAATATAAAGTCAAAGGAGCCCTAGCTGGTTTGGCTCAGTGGCTAGAGCGTCAGACTGGGGACTGAAGGGTCCCGAGTTGGATTCCCAGTCAAGGGCACGTACCTGGGTTGCGGGCTCGATCCGCAGTAGGGGACGTGCAGGAGGCAGCCAATCAATGATTCTTTCTCATCATTGATGTTTCCATCTCTCCTTCTCTCTTATTCTCTGAAATCAATAAAAATATATTTAAAAAAATAAAAAATCAAAGGAAAAAGTCTAAACATTGAGGATGGTCACCTCCACAAGCCATTAGGAAACTGACTTATCTTTTGGTTTCATCTTAGAAGCTTTTGTTTTGTCTTAAGAAAGTGGATACTCTTGTCTAAAACTAGGTCTTACAAATGCTTGCTACCAAAGGGAGGGAAGGGAGAGGGTAGTTCTGGAGAATCATGGCAATAGAAAGACTACCAATCCCCTCACCCCCACAAATGGACCCCTATTTAGAAAATTTAAACCCTGTATTTTCTTATTTCTGGTTATGGTCATTTCTGCATAAATAAGACCCTTTATAACATTTTTTTGTAAACCTTTATGATAAGAATTTCTAGCAGAAGTATACTTTTCTTTAAATGAATTTAAATCATAGTACAGTATATATACTAATATATATTTTTGGTATTATACCATAACACAATAATGTTTTAACACTAATAAACCCTTTAAAAACTTACAGTAAAAATTCAGACTGTTCCTACTGTTCTGTTATTGTCAATGCTAAAACTTATTTTTTTAAGGGAACAATATTTACATTCTCTATAATTCAATCTTGTTGATAGTTATCTAATTATGCACTACTAAGGTAAGGAATATTTTAAAATATTTTTTCTCCATAAGTTTACAATATAGTTGTGACATTGTTATTAAATATGTCCTCATTGTGTAATCCTTATATTGAAAATTGCTGTATTCCATGCATTTGTATTTGGTATTATTATCTATATATATAAAAACCTAAGTGACCAAACAACCAAATAACCAGTCGACCAGTCACTATGATGCGCACTGACCACCAGGGGGCAGACACTCAACACAGGAGCTGCCCCCTGCTGGTCAGTGCGCTCCCACAGCAGGAGCACTGCTCAGCTGACCTACGGGTGCCAGATGCAGGGCTCATAGCTGGTGAGTGCCTCTCCCGATCAGGACTGACTAGGCGCAAGCCCGAGACAGGAGCAGCGTTGCCGGGATGAGTGGGAACGGCAGGCAGGAGTGGCAGGCAGCATTGGACTGCTGGTTTCAGCCCAGTCCCCGCAGGCCGAGGGACCCCACCGGTGCATGAATTCGTGCACCAGGCCTCTAGTTTATTGAATAATGTTTAATTTCTGGTTCTGAATAACATTAGTACCACTTGCCAACTTAAGATGGAATTCATGCTAATCCCTGGGGTCTAATATACTCTAAAATAGCTAAAGCATTAGAAATGTTGGCACTCAAGCCCCAAAGTTATTTTTACTCTAAGCCTACTTAATATGATGAGTCCAGGAGGGTTTCAGCCAGGAGACCTGTTATGATGCTTTTCTTCTTCTGGATCAAGCTCAAGGCCCTTGGAAAAGATTTGAGGGGCAGATAGCTGCGAAAAAGCCTGCCACCAAAATTCCATATTCATTCAAATTATTCACTAGTAAAAGAAAGATACTTGCAGATGGACAAAAAGTGAGAGACTATTCACAGCCGAATTCCCTATCCAGGAAAAATGAGTGAGAAATGAATCAAAATTTTTAAGAGTAAAAGTATTTATAAGATATAAATTACTTTTAAAAATCTGGTGAATTAACAATATAGTTTATCCCCATAGTTGGAGTTGATCCCTATATTTTACAAAAATAATTTAGCGAGTTGCATCTGTATAGGAGAATGTATTTAGAATGGAATTATATTTCATTTACTGGTACAAATGTATTATTTTGGACAGATTTTTCTTTTGAACAGAATCAAAAAAACTTTCCTTATGCTTTTATATCTATGAAATTGCTTGCTTTGACTTCATGAATATTCTCTAGTGATTTAATTAGAAGGATCCTGAGATTTGGAGTCAGAGGCTCTTGATTTCAGTCTGTCATTTACTAGTAGAGACAAGTTACTGAACTGCTCTTACTCCCCGAGTTTCTTTATCTTGGAAATATGAACCCTATATTATAGGTAGTAAAAGGAATTAATGAAAATATAAATATGTCTTAACAGGTGATTTATCATAAACATCAACCATCAAGAATCTTTCCTTAGGAATGGTAATCACTATATTTTCAAGACAGTTGTTATAAATGGGAGAGGGAGGGAGCTGCTATGCAGGGGGATTTTGTGGGGTAGGAGACTTTAATAATACTGTTAATATTTTATTAGATGTGGACACTCATTTTGTATATTTTTCTATGTCTTCAATATTTTTAATTGTTAAAAAAAGTCTTTCCTTATGAAATACACAAAATTTTCCCATGAAATATATTAACCAACAAAGTGTCTATCATTTTTCTGTCAAAGGACAGTGCTGAATAGGACACTCTGAAATGTATGCTTCATAATTCTTAGCTTGCTTGGGACCTGCTTGTAAGAACATCATTTCCTTGTTGCCATTCTAGTTGTGTTATGTTGCACAAAGTATTAAATTTCAGTTGTGTGTTTTAAGTAGATGCAGAGATCACAAACTGTCTTGGGATTGAACCTGTCTCTTAGAAGTAGTGCTTGTTCCACACAGTATTGGTCTCCATGGTGACTTAAGGTCTCATGAAAAATCAAGGAATGTTGTCACCCCTGACTTGCATCTCTGCATGACAACACTGAGTTTGTGCTGAGTATCAGCTGTGCCCTTCGGCTGGAGCATGTGCTCCAGAGTTCTCCATACTCCACTGACGCTGATGTCAGATGCCATCATGTTTATATTACCTGTTTGTCTCCTATGGGCAATTTAGTTGATAACTGTTAGAAAAATTATATTCAGTGGATGTCACAGTCTTCTATTGATATGTTGCTGTTATATTTTAATTTGATGTCACGTATTTTCAATACTTTATAAAGCACAATTACTTACACTTTACCTACAAATGTATGGCATAAAGTACTCTTTTTGTTTGTCAACTCTTCCTCTCATACACAAACATGTTACCAATTAAATATTTCTCAAATCTAGTTCTTCCTGTCCAACCTTACTGCTACTGCTCCACCTCAGGCCCTCATAGTCTCTCGCCTGGAATTTAATTGCTCCCTAACGGTGCTCCTTGCCTCCAGTCACATTCCTTTCAGTTCATCCGGAAGTGTATTGCTAGAATGATGTATCAAAATACAGATCTCATCTCATCAACCTGTTGTCTCAAATTCTAAGTTTCTCCATCTTCTTTGGCACAGGTCAGCAAACATGTCCATAAAGGTCCAGATGGTAAATATTTTCAGCTCTGCCAGCAAAAGTTTCTTGCCACAAGTAATTGACTCTGCTGTTGTTGAATTGAGCACAAAAGCAACCATAGACAACATATAAACAAGTAGGCATGGCTGTGTTCCAATAAAACTTATTTATAAAACCAGCCCCTGGTGTAGGGTTAACACCCCTGTTCTGTGATATAAAAAGCTCTCCTTGTCTTCCCTCCCATCACATTTACCATTTTCCCATCCTGTTTCCTACAGTTTATTCAAAAGCACCATTCTAATTCTTAAACTCTTCTGAGCACAACGTATTTCTATACCCAGTTCTTTTCATTTAGCTGTTTTTTCACAAATAGCAAAATATTCTAATATATTTTATAAAATGTTAATTCTCAAATGATGGTCTCATATATAAACATGAGGTTGTTTAGCCACCTGCAGACATCTTTATAAATGTATTTTAAAGTTCTAAGTATTAAAAACAGTTTTTAACAGGTCCTTCATACAATCTATGAGTTTGAATACTATCAATACATTTTTAAAATTTCTCAGAATAAGGTCACTGGAAGGAAAGTACTTTCATTTCAGCCTTATCAACTATTTGAATTAAGGTTTATTGAGAGGACAATTTTAGGATAGTCAGTAAGAATTGAAAGCATGAACTCATGTTGTGTCCTATCTTCATCACAATTGCTCCTTTCCAATACAAATAAAAAAACAGAAAATATTTCGTTTTAGGATGTTTCTTGACTGAAGTATTGCACTTCAAGTTACTATTTAAATTCTAGTAGGTCACACTTCACATGTTTCCATATGTAAGAAATAGCACCTCTTGAAAATATGTTGTTAAGTATGTGGGTTTGCCTCATTATTAAGTTTCAGTTATTTAGGCTATTGCTGATTGGTACAGTGTTGGGTAGTAAACAAAACCTTTTCCAGTAAAAAAAAAATAGAAAAACTTAATTCTTGCATCATATTAATGAAAAATATGATTTGATTACTAAGGTGAGAAAGCAGAGTGGTAGGGCTGCTGTGATGGAATGTTGTTAAAATGTGGATGGATGTTAATACTGATTATTATAAAGTTCTCTATATTTTCTGATAGTCACATAACAATGCATTAATTTAAAGCTCCATCTATTAAAACTGACCTGTAAATGTCTTTTATGGTTGATTTTTAGCCACCAGCTGAACAGGCCAAAGCCAGACTACAGTTGGTTCTTGAAGCTGCTGGTAAGTATTGATAATTAATTTTAAATGAAAACCCTTGAAATAAATCCTAGCATGCTTACAGGTGGGTCAAAGAGAAAAACACCTATTTTCATTTATCCTCACAAATTTATGAGCTCTAGATTGTATGTATGACTGTATTTTACCTTAAATATTTATTGTTGCAGTATAATACTAAAAGGTCATTCTTCACCTTTTTATTTATAAAACTAGAGGCCCAGTGCACATGAAATTCGTGCCCGGGGTGGGGAGGGGGTGTGTGTCCCTCAGCCCAGCCTGCACCCTCTCCAATCTGGGACATCCCTCTTAAAATCCAGAACTGCTGGTTCCCAACCGCTCGCCTGCCTGCCTGATTGCCCCTAACCGCTTCTGCCTGCCAGCCTGATCACCCCCTCACCTCTCCCCTGCCAGCCTGATCGACGCCTAACTGCTCCCCTGCCAGCCCGATTGCCCCTAACTTCCCTCCCCTGCCAGCCTGGTCACTCCTAACTGTCCTCCCCAGCCGGCCCGGTCGCTCCCAACTGCCCTCCCTTTCAGGCCTGGTCCCCCCCAACTGCTCTCCCCTGCTTGCCTGACCCCCCACAACTGCCCTCTCCTGCCAGCCATCTTTGACCACATGGGGGTGGCCATCTTGTGTGTTGGAGTGATGGTCAATTTGCATATTACCTCTTTATTATATAGGATTGTTTTTGTTTTAATTTGATTAATTTATTGATCTTTGTCTTTTATGGATGGTACTTTTGGTGGAATGTTTAAGAATTTTTTTGGCTAACCTTACATCATGAAGATTTTCTCCTACATTTTCTCCTACAAGTTTTATATTTTTACATTTTAGATTTAAGATTATGATCTATTTTAATTTAACTTTTGTATAAGATGTGAGTTTTAGATTGAAGTTTTCATTGAGCCAAAGGAAACAAGGTAAATGAAATTTTATAATTACATTGTACTAATTTATTAGTTTGTTCTGGATACCACCTAATCTTAAAATACTATGTGTTTTATTTATTAACTAGAGGCCATAATTTTCTATTATAAAATAAGAATTCTGTTTTACTGTCAAAAGTAATTTCAGACTACCAAATGACAGTAGTTATATATTTGTATGCCTTGATTGAGAAAATATATATGTACTTATGATTTAAGGTTGGCTTGCATTTACTTCTTGCATTCTGACCCAAAATATTCACGGTCTAAAGTTTGGAACACCAGTATAAATGATATGCTAGCTTCATAAATCACTAATAGAAGTTACTTACCATACAGGGATAAAAATTGGTAAGTATTTTGACTATGAGTCTCTTTAGCCCTCTATATTACTTTAAAAGTCACTTATATTTTATACTAGAGGCCTGATGCACGAAAATTTGTGCACTGGGGGTTGGGGGGTTTCCTCGCCCGGCCTGCACCCTCTCACAGTCAGGGAGTCCTCAGGGGATGTCCTACTGATGGCTTAGGCCTGCTCCCCAGGGGGAACAGCCTAAGCTACAGTCTGGCCTCCCTCTGAGAGAGGCGACCTTGCCAGCCGATCAGGGGACGGCACCGCCCCCATCACTCCACCGCTGCCGCCGCCTGGCCTCCCTCTGTGGGAGGCGACCAGACGGGATCACCCGCCATTTCCGCCTGGCCTCCCTTTGCGGGAGGCGACCGGATGAGCTGATCAGGGGATGGTGCTGGCCCCCCCATCACCCCTCCGCTGCCGCTGGTCGAACCCTCCTCCCCATCGCCGTTCCCTCCCTCTGCCCGTTGATACGCATCTTGGCTGGCCTTGGCACTGCCTGCTCGCTGGCCCCGCCCCCCGCTGACTGGTCTTTCCGCTGTTCAGTCGATTTGCATATTACACTTTTATTATATAGGATATTAACCTAATTCATTTTATCTTTAGTTATGTAGAAAACAAGATACATTAAAATGTTTCTTGTTATAGTGTTTTAAACTATAGGCTAAAGCTAGTTAATGTGATTTCTATCATTTACATAATATACACTCATTCTTTAGTGGCATTTTGTTTTGAAAAATATGTTTTAGTTCATAAATTGAGTGTAAAAAAACTCTTGCTTTAAAGGAAAATATTTATGATGCTTAGTTCAGAAAATACTTTTTCATCAATACAACTATAAAGAATTTCATTTCATAGTTTTATACAGTTTTCTTTGATGTCTTGATCTTTTAATATGATTTTGAAGCATATTATAATACAAATCTGACAGTCCAAACCTCACAGTGTATAACTTATTTATATCAGTCTCAGCTGTCACTCCTCGTTATTTAAAATTTAACATTGTAAATTCTATTAAGGATAAAAAGCTAGGTTCTGTGTATTTGAGAAACTTTCAAAATATTATGACAGTTTTCAAATTTAAAGACATATATTGGTCTGGATAAGGAAAGGACAGACTTTAGTGAGATGTAACATTATTTATTAATTTCTTCTTATTGAAAATATGTTTTCTCCAGCTTTTCCCTCTTATCAATAACACTGTGATGTACATCTTGTTACAAATTGTGTTTTCCTTTTTTTATTGTTTTCTTGGGAATGGTTCTATAGAAATGAGTTTATGAGGTTAGAGGGTATTAATCTTTAAAGCCGCTTTTTATACATTTTTGCTAAATTTTTTTCCAAAAAATCTGTGCTACTTTTCATTGCCACTGTTAATCAACCATTTTTACCAGACTTTGCTTTTTTATTCCAGTTACATGAATATATGCTTCGTTGTATGACTTGCTGTATGTATTATACCCATTTGAAAAATATCTAGTACTGCCTTTAATGAGAACCCTTGGCCTGGAGAGAGGAAGCAGGTGGATGGATAGGGGAGTAGCATATAAGCAAATATAGGTCTTATTGTCAAAGTTCCAGGTCTCCTTTCAGTGATGAATTCCAGGTGTCCTTTGTATTATTAAAAGTAAACAAATGAAATAAAAAGAGGGGAATAAAAGAACTTGAGCTCAGTCTGGTGAGGCTTGCAGTTAAAGTCTCCTCTAGGCCTAAGATTGAGGTAGGTGGGTAGGAAGGTCTGCCAAATCATGCCCGTTGTGTCACATTGGAGTTTAGTTGAGTTTCCACAGAAAACATTTTCAACTTTGGGGCCTTAAAATCAGGTACAGGGAAAGACAAGGCTGTATGCTGGATTCTTGAGACAGGGTTTATTTCAACCTTATAATTACTACTAGTGGCCTGGTGCACGGATTCATGCACATTGAAAGAAAATTAATTAGAAGAAATATTTTAATATCGCTATTTGCCCTTTCTGTATAATAGAAGTGTCAACCAAATTCATGATTGACAATGACAGATCAAAACACACGCATGCAATTGGTGCCAGTGAGAGCTTTTTATGTATTGCGCATGCGTGAGTCAACGTTTATTTTTAAACAAGAGGCCAATGCACAAAATTCGTGAATGGGGAATGGTGTCCCTCAGCCCGGCCTGAGCCCTCTCGCAATTCAGGACCCCTCAGGGGATGTTCGACTGCTGGTTTAGGCCTGATCAGCAGTCAGACTTCCCTCTTGCAATCCGGGACCCCTTGCTCCTAACCGAACCACCACCTGCTCACTCCTTACTGCCCACCTGCTCACTCCTAACCGCCCGCCTGCTCACTCCTTACAGCTTGGCTCGCCGCGGAGGTGGAAGAGGCTCCCACCACTGCCGCTGTGCTCGCCAGCTGTGAGCCCGGCTTCTGGCTGAGCAGCACTCCTGCTGTGGGAGCGCACTGACGACCAGGGGGCAGCTCCTGCATTGAGCGTCAGCCCCCTGGTTGTTAGTGTGCGTCATAGCGACCAGTTGTTCTGGTCGTTCTGCCAGAAGGGTCGCTGGGCTTTTATAGATATAGATTGCCAGTGACCGGCCCATCAGTCACTTAGCCTTTTATATGTATTGATAATGTGGCTGATAGGATTTATATATAGAAACTTGCTGATTATACGTAGTCTTTTCCTCTAACTTGGGGCCCAGAAGAAAGTTTTATATATAACCATTGCATTGTTATTGATTTATTAGTGAATGTTAATATTACTAATTTGAAATTAAAATACATTTTGAACATTTGGCAATGATTATTAGCGGTATGATTTTAAAAGAGCAAAGTAACATTAAGCAAAATGTAATTGTAGGATGTCATGCATATTGTACCAAACATGAATTTGAAATCAGATTTTATTGTATTTATAATTATATTTTATATGCACTACACTGTTACATTTTTATATTTTGCTATGCTAAGTCTTCAGATTTAGATAGACTCTTTTTTCAGGTTCATTGCCAAGTTGCAATGGAAACTCAATTTTGTATCTCTTGTTTAACAGTTAAGGTTCTATCTAAGGTTGCTTTTTAAATCTTCAAGTGGCAATAAGATACAGAAGGATGCAAATTGTATAAATTTTTAAAACTGAATCTAAATTGTAACTTTAGTTCATGATTTATTCTATAATACTGAGTAAATCCAATTGCAAACTGTTTCTGCCTTGAGTTTTTTCCTTTTTAAAAATACTTTTAAGATTCAAAACCTTGACATTTTTTTCAATCATTCACCTAGAATTAATGACTCTTATTTTGAATATTTTTATATTTATGCCTTTATTACCTTTCCCACTGCCATCTCCTTAGTCTAGACACCAACCATTTCACCCAAAGGCTAATTAATCATTACCCCCTAATTGGTGTCTTGCTTTAGTTCTTCTGCAGAGAGATGGCAGTGAATAGCAGAAGGGTCCTAGTTCTGCTTCCTACTCATCCTATGACCTTGAGCAATTTCATTAGCCCAAACAGGATTTTTTAAATGGAGTATGACAGATTTTTATATTTTCTGGTTTACTATAGTTCTCTATAATTTACTGAGGTGAAATTTATATAATATAAAATGAATCATAATTGTTCAAATTGAACAATTACATATGTATTTTTATGGATGTATTTAAAGTGGCATTAAATACATTCAGAATGTTTTATAATAACCACCACCTCTATCTAGTTCTAAAAGATTTGCATCACTCCAAAGTACAAC